GAGTGAGTGGTTCAAGCCAGAGGTCTCGTACCTGGGCCACGTTGTCGGCAAGGACGGGATCCTCGTGCAGGAGAAGAAGGTCAAGCAGATACTGGCAGCACCCCGGCCGACGTCGAGAAAGGAGCTGCAATCGTTCTTGGGCCTAGCGGGCTACCTACGAAACTTCATTCCGCACTACTCCACGATAGTTGGAGGGCTGTTCGACTTACTGAGGAGGGGCAGGTCGTTTACGTGGCTGCAGCAGCATCAGCGAGCGTACGAAAGGTTGAAGGACGCAGTGGCGTCGACCATCAAGTTGCATCCCCCCAAGCCCGAAGGCGAGTACGTGATATACACGGATGCCTCAGAAACGAGCGTGGGAACAGTGTTGATGCAGCGACAGGGTGAAGTCGAGGTGCCGATAGAGTTCGCCAGCAAGAAATTCAGCGACACACGCGAGAGGGAGCTATTCGCCGTTAAGTGGGCGATAGACCAATGGAGGGACTATGTGAGTCTGTCGCACTTTACCGTGGTGACGGACCATAACAACCTACGGTACCTGGTGAACGTGGACAAGGGGAAGGTGTTCCGTTGGGCCCTATACCTCAAGTTCATCTCGGGAGAACAGAACAACGTCGCGGACTGGCTGAGCCGCTATTCGGCGATGACGGGTGACTGCGACGAATTTGTTGGACAAGATGGCCCTCCGTGTGGGTGTGGTGAGGCGAGGTAAGCCCCTGGCCATACCACCCTTGCCGACCGAGGGGGAGTTCAGGGACGCGTACGCACGGCTACCGCGTGCCGGGGTCAGTGGCACGCGCCCCGAAGGCAGGTGGATAGTGGATGTTAGGAACGGGAGGGTGTTCGTGCCAGAGGAACTGCGGTCACGAGTACTGGTTAACTTCCACTACGGCCCCAGTGGGCACCTGGGTGTAACGCGCAGGAAGAGGAGAATACAATCCCTGTTCTCCTGGCATGGGCTGAGCAAGGATGTAGAGAACATGGTTCGAGACTGCCTAATATGTACGCGAGTGAAAAGACCGCCCGTGACGGCACATGAGGTGCCGTCGGGGTCCTTGGGTGCGGCGAGTGCGCTAGATATCGTCTCCCTAAATCGTGTCGGTCCGCTCCATTTCGGACCGGACCAGTGGTGGATCCTGGTTGTGATTGATCACGCGACGAGGTACATGGTGGCGAAAATTGCCACCGGCATGACGGCCGCGGAGACCTACCACCAGTTCTACGCGTACTGGGTGGTGCACTTAGGGATCCCGAAGGCCGTATTGACGGACAACGGGACGAGTTTTAAAGGGGAATTCCACCAGTACGTGACCGCGCTCTTAGGCTGCCGGCGTCTCACCTCAGCCCCGTACCGGCCCCAGGGCAATGGGATCAACGAATCCTCGCACCAGGGTTTGAAGGTCATGCTTGCGGCGATGTGGCAGGAGGGGAGGCACGAGTTCGGCTACGCTCTCGAGGCAGCAGCGACCACGCATAACACAACTCCGCATACCAGTACGGGAGTGAGCCCGTACGAGGCCCTGTTCGGTCGTCCGCCGAACATAGCGCAGTGCCAGGGGTGGACCTTGGTGCCCGGAG